CTTACATTAAGGTCTTTGATCATCTGGGATTATGTACTTTGTTGTTTTTTTTTTTTACAATAGTTCTCCTTGTGGATTCAGTTTTCTCAGTACCATTTATTGAAGAGACTGATCTACAGCATGTATTTCTGGCATCTTTGTCAAGAATCATATGGCTGAAATTGCATGAGATTAGTTATGGGTACTCTTATTTCACTGGCCTAGGTATCTATTTTTGTGCCAGAACGATACTGTTTTTGTTACCATCTGAGTATAGTTTGAAACCAAGTATTATGATTCCTCCAACATTGTTCTTTTTCCTCTGGCATGCCTTGGTGATTTGGTATCTTTTGTGCTTCCCAGTGAGCTTTTGGATTGTTTTTTCTATTTCTGTGAAGCACATCATTGGAATTTTGTCATTTTAGCAATATAAATTCAGATCCATGAATATGAGAGGTCCTTCCATCTTCTAATAGCTTCAAGTTGTTTTCTGCTTCTCTTTTTAGAGGTTTTTCACCTCTAGTTTGAATTGTTGCTTATTTTTCAGGGTGTCAGTGGCTCATACCTATAATTCTAGCCACTCAGGAAACTGAGATCTGAGGATCCAGGTTCAGAGGCAGTCCAAGCAGACAAATGTGTGAGATTCCAGCAAAAAGCTGGAATGGGAGATGTGGTTCCAGTGGTAGAGCTCCAGTCCCTGCTCTCCCTTGAGAGGTTCCCTGTAGCCAGTAGAAGTACTGGTAGCCACTGCTGCTCTCAATGAACTTGCAGCCAGTGGGCCAGGCAGGTTCCCATTCACTTGAGAAGCCTCCCTGTTTGTGCACCCAGGGGCCATAAATGTCCAAGCCAAGGGCTGCCCCCTGAATGACTCCTGAAACAGCACCAAATTCTAGCTGGAAGGGAAAAAGAGACACAACCTGGCACTGCCTGCCGGGCTCAGCACTTTCAGATCCTGCTCTGCAGTAAACAGACGTGCAGGAGGGAAGACTTTGGGGAAGTGTTGAGCTCAGAGCTCTGTCTTCACAAAAATCAACACTTGCTCTTTGCCCTAGAGGGTGGGACACTGACCACTGATTGCTCTGCACACTGAGTTCACTGCTTTACAAACTTCTCAGCAGGTTTGCATTCAACTCTCCTCATGTCTATGACTTTCTCATGATCATTGCTTGCCCAGTCAACTGTCAGTATCTGCAGGTTTCAGCACTTGAGTTTGGTCCTTGTTTTCAGGTCAAAGAAGCTCAGTTTCAAACAATAGGCCCCATGTCAAGGTAGCACTTGGTTATAACATTTAACTGCAATGGATTTCTTCTCCATTGTTTGCCTGCCTTGTAAGAGGCCGTCAGACCAAATCCCCACAGTGAGAACTGTGGCTTTCTCCTGTTGCTTGGACTACCAGATAGTCTGTTGGTACCAGGGCTGCCTGGGCTTATTTTATGGTTGTGAACTTTATAAATATTGCTTATTTTAAAATATAGTGTGCGTGCGCGTGTGCGTGTGTCAGTACTGAGATATGCATTACAACCTTTGTCTTTTAATTGATCATAAAAAAGTTTCTAAAGAAAATTTAAGTTTGCCTAGCATTTTCTATACTAATCTTCCCCTTTTATGATACAGAATGATTTCCTGTTCTTCAACCTAACCCCATTAATAATAACTAGCAAAAAAAATAATATAAAATAAAATATAATGCTTGCAATACCAGCACTTGGGAAGCTGAGGCAGAGGGATTAGCATTTGGGGTCAGCCTGAGCTGCAAAGTGAGACCCTGACTCAAAAAGGTCAAAACAAAACCACACAAGAAAAAAAAAATCAAATAACAAGATGGCATATTTAAACAATATCAGTAATTCCACTATGTATAAATGGAGTATACATGCTCCAATTTAAAAAAAAAAAGTGGGCTGGCTTTGAGCCACAATCCTCAGATCTCAGCCTCCTGAGTAGCTAAGATTACAGGCATGAGCCATGGGCACTGGGCTTTGCAAAGGTATTTTTCTATTGCCTTCTTTCTTCCATAATTTCAGCTGAAAGATCTGCCTTAAAGTCTTAGTGTTACTTCCTTGAAAGTTACCATTTCTCCTCTTGAGCTGTCTTAAAGATTTCTCTTTAACATTAATGTATCTGGGTGAGGTTTCTGTGTGTGTGCGTGCTCATGCGTGTATTTGTGCATGTTGGTACTGGGGTTTGCACTTATGGCCTATGCTTTTATTAGGTTTTTCATGTTTGGCCCTCTAGTCTGGCATTCTGCTGGTTGATTTTTTTTTTTTAATTTTTGTTGGTCATGGGGCTTGAACTCTGGGCCTAGGTGCTGTCCCTTAGCTCTTCAGCTCAAGGCACTCTACTACTTGAGCCACAGCACTACTTCTAGTTTTCTGAGTGGTTTCTTGGAGATATATACATATATCTGCACATGCATACATATATAAATTATAATGTATATAATTCTCCATTTTTTAATTTTCCAAAAAATTCTTCATTTTTTAATTTTCTCCTTCATTTTCCTTAATGTATTTTTAAAGTCCTAGTCTATTGACTTGTCTACCTAGATCATCTGTAGGTCTACTATGTTTGGCTCTTCTTCAGATTCTTAGTTTTCCTGTATCTTTTATTTTTATATATGTGTATGTTTTGTGTGCCGGAAATTGTATCTAAAAGGAAGATAGTCACTAAAATAAATTTACTATCTTTACATTTTATTTTATTGGGTAAGAAACAAAACATCTCACACCAATCAGGAATTGAGTTGAGCTAGGGATAGTGTGCAGTTTTACTTAGACTTAGTCTATCTCTTTTAATTACATGGAGCTTGATGCCTTTTTAAGGTCCCCTTAGTGAATAACAGAAAGAATATCCCAGGTGTATCCTGGCTTTTCTCTCTCTCTTGACACTCAGCCTCTAAGTAATGTCTAAACTTTCCTGGCTTTAAATTCAGTGGGTTAATTCCCAGATCTTTATCTCCAGGCTAGGCCTCTCCCCATAGGAGACAAAGGGTACATTCAAACCAGGTACTTATAACAAAGGAAATATATAGAAGTTACTGATAGGATTAAGGGAAACTAAATGAGATGATGGAAACTCCCTTGGGATAGCAACATATGGAAACTATTTCCACTCCAGTGGACAAAGGGTGTTCTAGGTGAGCCTCACAACAGCCCTATGGCCTTTGGTTGTGGGAGCCAACTAGCTCACATGACCAGCAAGGAAAGGAGTTGGGGAACAAAATCTCACTCTTCTCACTTTTGTTGGTTTCCTGCGAGAACCCTTACCCCTGGGGAAAAAGACACAGCCCTATTAGAAGTCAAAGCAAGAGCGAGCAATAGATGTAGTCCATAAAGGTGACCCTTTGTGACGCAAAAGGATTAGAGTTGTTCTGGAATAGTAGAATAAAAAAATTCATATGTCCAGTAATTTTCTGCTTGGGTACTGCCAATACATCACTGGGTGTATATGGTCAGGCTTGGAGGGGAAAGGAATCTTTTGAACCAGGAGCCAAATGAAAGCTCATAGAGAGCAGTGACAAGGAGAGTCACTCCCGTGATTGTTGAGGGTAACATATGTACAACCTTCAAAGGAGTGTGTAGTTTTGTGATTTGTTTTCTAAGTGAAGTAATAGTAACCTGGAAGAGGCACTGATGTGGTGAAGGCATTTGGGCCCTTGAAAACATTGCAAACAGGAGAAGCAGTTGAAGGGGGTTGGAGGGCTAAGGAGAAGGTGGGGAAGAACCAATCAAGGCTGGTGCCTGTCAAAACTAGAGAGTAAAGGAAACTCCCAATAGGGGCATTTGTGGGTGGTTGTTTCATGGGCATGCTTGCAAGGTTTAGAACGGAATAGAAAGGTGTTCAGTTAGTGGTGGCACTACCCTGGCAAGGAGTGTGACTGGAGAGAGTGTGATGTTCGCAGCATTTGAGACTTAGGGAATGAGTAGGAAGGGTAACATCCTACAAGGCCCAAGGCAGTACCGTAGAATTGTCCCTACACAAAAGACCAATCATAGCTGCCACTGATGGTGAATCTCATCATTGAGAATTACAGAAACAGGACAAATGGTGTGTTATCTAGTCCTAAGGACCCAAAGGAATACTTACTGGGAATGTGGCTTAGTGGTAGAGTGCCTGCCTAGCATGCATGAAACCCTGGGTTTGATTCCTCAGTACCACATTAAAAAGCCAGAAATGGGGCTGTGGCTCAAGGGTAGAGTGCTAGCCCTGAGCAAAAGAAGCTCAGAGACAGTGCCTAGGCCCTGAGTTCAAGCTCCAGGATTGGCCAAAAAAGAGACGACAACGATGATGACGAAGAAGAAAAGAACAACAACAACTTGGAAGGGGGAAATGTACCTCACAAGGGGATTCAGAGCATAGATGTGAAGAGTCTCCCTCACTTTGTTGTAGTTATATAACAAGTCAGCATCTTAAATTTATTTGGTTGGTTTTTTTTTTTGCTAGTTATTATTAATGGGGTTAGGTTGAAAAACAGGAAATCATTCTGTATCATAAAAGGGTAAGATTAGTATAGCAAATGCTAGGCAAACTTAAATTTTCTTTAGAAACTTTTTTATGTCTGCTAGAACTGGGGCTTGAACTTGGGGCCTGGGTGCTGTTCTTTAGCTTTTTCACTCAAGGCTGGTGTCTATCACTTTAGCCACAGCTCTACCTCAAGCTTTTTGCTGGTTAAATGGAGATAATAGTAACCATGATCCTCAAATCTCAGCACCTAGGATTACAGGTCTGAGCTACTTGCACCCAGCTAGAAACATTTCCAATTGGACTGCTTCATACTGGAATCTTGGATTAGTGGTGAATTTTTAGGTGAGAAAGGAACGCCAGATGCCACCTTGAGCCTACTGTTTTGCTTCTGAATAATGCTTAAACAGAGAGACCTTTGTCTCTCCGTGGTTTTCTTTTGTCACTCATGCCATACAAGTAAATAAAAAGCTGAATATTAGGAACTTTTGCATTTTGAATGTAATCGTGACCTTCTGAAACAACAGGTTTGAAAATGGACCAACGTATAAGTCAAACAAGCAAGTGGGATTTATCATTCCTGGGGCATTTAGAAGGACGAGTTGTTTTCATTCTGTCGCTGCAGACTTAGAGAAAAGACTTCATCATCTTGTAAGTGATGCAGGCTTCTGGGCTGCTTTCCTCAAACAATTTGGCAGGAATTTCCTTTTCTTCAAAATGAATAGGCATTTTCTTGCTCTGCACACTCATAAGCTTCACTGCCAAGGGACCCAGGTTTGAATAATCCTAGTGAAGAGACACAAGAGAACAGGTTACCTGGCAAGTTAGCCTGGATAGATTAGTTTTTATTATATTTGACCTTGAGCTGACAGCTTGCAATGGCCCTGTGAGCTGGAATGCTGAATTACACATGAAATAGGAAAGTCACTGTAAAACAAAAACCTCCACAACACTGCGTAAGCTTATGTAGCCAGAAGTGCAATAGCTCTTGAAAGGCTTAAGCAGGAAGGTTGGTCATTTGGTCTCAGAGGTAACTGAGGGGCACAGGCACATCTGCAAGCTGTTTAATTGGTGAAAGAGTATTGCCAAGATACAACCACAACAGGCTAGAAAAGTTTTCTTCAACAACAAAGGGGGAATAATTGGCAAATGCTACTTTGACTATAGATATTCTAACATTGGGCAACTCTTCCAGGAATTTCACACATTTCACAGCATCTTTGGCTATGATAATATATATATATATATGTGTGTATATATTTATATATAATAAACTTCATTCTGACAAAGTATAGTCTAAAATGACAACAGAAGAATTAAATTTATATAAAAATCCCACAACTATCCTAAAACATCTCAAGCCCTATCCAGCATCCTTTGAACTGGGAGAGCTTCCAAATCACAACTCTCCTTTTTTATTTCTTTGATAGTTCAGCAAATCTGTCCTGAGTGCCAGCTGTACATATTAAGTGCATATTAACATACAGACAAGGGAGCCAGATGCAGGTGCTGCGTTTCCTCTTTACACAGTTAATATGGACTTCATTACTCGTCATCTGTAGCCCTAAGAGCAATCTGAGGATAGGGCCCGCTATCTGGGTGTCTTTGAGAATTCATTTCCTGGTTCACCCCTTAAATTCCCAAACATCCTGGCATGTTATAGAGTTTGCAATAAAGAGCTCCCAGTACTTATCTGAATTTAAGAGAATCAAAGAATGGGGGAAAAAAGGAGGCAACATTTTATTTCTCAAGACTGCTTATACTTGTATTTTGTTTTCAAAGTATTCAACTATTAAGAGTAAGGGAAAGTGATGGAGGTCTACCACTTCACATACTTAAGCATATGCCAGTTCTACCACATCAAAAACTCACAGTTGGGGCTGGGAAGGTGGCTCAGTGGTAGAGCGCTTGCCTGGCATGCTTGAGGCCCTGGGTTCAATTCCTCAGCACCACATAAGCAGAAAAAGCTGCATGATGATGTGCACCTGTAATCCTAGCAGTCTGAGATGGAGGCAAGTGGATCACAGGTGGATCACATAGTGAACAGCCTCAGCTACATTGCAAGACTCTATCTCAAAAATAACAAAAACACGGGAGGGAAAAACAGAAGGGGTGATGGCATTGTCCAAAAAGAAATGTACTCCTCACCTGACATATGACATGTCCTCTTCACAATCACCTTAATAACAAAAAATAACCCCAGATAATAGTAAAAAATAAAAACTAAAACCGTTCATGTGGAAATAAATATGCCCTGCACTCAAACTAATGACATCAACATGGATTTTGTATACAGTTGTCTACCAGTCTGCAATCATAGTGATATGAGAGTCATGATTCCAGGAGGCATATTGGAGTGCATGAAGTATACAGTTGAGAAACTACATTGAGTCATTTTTGTGTGTGCCCCTATACTGGGGCTTGAACTCAGGGCCTTATGCCCTGGCTTGGCTCATTTGCTCAAGGCTAGTGCTCTACCACTTGAGCTACATCCCCACTTATGGCTTTTTGCTGGTTAGTTGGGAATGACAATCTCACAGACTTTCCTGCCGTGGCTGGCTTTGAACTACAATTTTCAAATCTTAGAGTCCTGAGCAGGTAGGATTACAGGTGTGAGCCACTGGTGCCCAAATGCTTTCTTGAATCTTACCTTGAAATCCCGATCATCTTCATATAGCAAAAATTTCAGAGGAGAACTGCCAACTTCAGTGCAGGAACCAAACTCCTCCCACGCCTTCAGGCGCCAGGCATCGTCAGCGTGGCCTTTAGCGCTAAAGCCGCGGGTCTCATCTACAGATTCCAAGTCTGTAGTTTCTAATATTGGTGGCTCTTCTGTGATGAACACAAAACAAGTAATTATGTTCACATTGTCACAAGATTTTAAAATAACATGCCATAGATCCTTTGTCACATTTTTAAAGAACTTTGCGTATCAGAAATATAAAATTTGGAGCTAGGAGTATAGCTCCATGGTAGTTCCTGCCTAGCATGTGGAGCCCTGGATTCAATCCCAGCATTGGAGAAAAAGAAAAGAAAAAGTGGGAGGGGGCAGGAGGAGTAGGTGGGAAAAAAGAGGAAAGTTTAAAAAAAATGATAAAAAATAAGAAGCATCCTCATTTTAAGAAATCCAAATTGTATTTCCTTCTGATAGCTAGCAAGTCCAGTAATCATTCATAAACAAAATATGGCTTTTAGTTGGCTAAACTGGGACCCAAACTATGTCATTGTAGGTAATATCCTGTCCCTTTTCACTAGTAACTAATTCACTGTGAAACGTGGTGAGTTCAGTTAGAAACATATTAGAAACTAAGTATAGTGGTGCCTGCCTGTAATTCTAGCACTTGGGAGGCTAAGGCAGAAGAATCATGAATTCAAGGCCAGCCTGGGCTGTACAGTGAGACCAAGAAAGAAGAGAGAGAGAGACAGACAGACAGACAGACTGACTGACTGAAGGAGGGAGAAAGGGAAACAGGGAGAAAGAAGGGGAGGCAGGAGAGAGGCTAGATTAGAGCACACACACAGCAGGAAGTCTGGAGGAGCTGATACGAATCTATGCCCTGAGTAGCTTTTATAGGTGGGGTACCTGCCCATAAAAGATGGTCAGTAGCTGTTCATTAAATTGAGAACAAAAATGAACAAGACCGGACCCAAAACAAAAACAAAAACAACATTGCAATAAAAATAACACCTATTTGTTTGCCTGAGAACTGCAAAATCATTTCTCCAGGTGGCACTTCCTGCCCAGTGGCTTGAGTAAGATAGAGTTGCCTGAAAGAACAAATAAGAAAAGCAATGTCAGTCAATAAATGTATTACATTTCTCTCCTGAGTGCCGGAGACACAAAGGCAAAAGTGAGAGTGATTGTGCCTGGCAAGCAATCCAGGGGCTTCAAGTGATGGCTGATACATGGTGGGTGATTGCACCATGTGTGAAGGCTGAGGAGCAAAATGCTGCAGTCCCTGAAATAACAAGTAGGGAAGGTTTCCCCCAGGAAAGGAAACTTGAGCTGAATCTTGAAGAATCAGTTTACCAGGAAAGAGCTGGGATGAGGAAAGGGCATTCCAAGATAAGGGAGAAACACCAAGGAGAGGCAGGGGAAGAGGAAAATACGTTGCCTTAAAAGCTCTGTGTGACACTGATATGAGGTTTCCTGAAAAGAGCAAACTGGATCCCTGCAGCTGTGCAAATGACCACTTTTTCTTAGCAGCTCAGCAACCAAGTAGATCCCCTGAATTATGGGCTGTCAATTATTTAAAGCACATGTATACTGTGTTAGCCAGACATCTGTGAATAAAACTGATTAAATATGTTCAGTATTTCCATACGTGCTACCTCCAAAAGACAGACAGGCTGAGCACCAGGGGCTCTCCCCAATCCCAGTAACTCAAGAGGTTCAAAGCCAGCTTGGGGCAGATAAATCTATGAACCAGAAAAAAAATGCTGGGACTAGAAGTGTGGTTCAAGTGTCAAGAGTGTCAGCTTCAAGCATAAAAGGCCAAGTGAGAGCTTGAGGCCTTGAGCACCTGGACAAGGAAAAAAAAAAAAGACAGTGAAAGTTTCAAGTGTAGCTTTGATCTGCAAGAAGACATGTCTAAGGCTTTAGAATTGCTTCTTGGTTTTACTCTTATGAATTAGTCTTCCTACATGTGACAACCTTCATAAATCAAGCTTTATCTCTTAGCCATTAGTTTGTCACTTCTTCTGTGGGTGGCAACACTTTGTATTTAATAATATAGAAAACATTTTAAAAAACATTGTTATATTAAGTTAGTGTTAGATTTGTAGACATTGCCCCACTGGAGTCCCAGTCATTTCTGGTTGACATTTACCTTGTCTATTTAGCCCAGTGTGTCAAACAAATACTATGATATTCCATGTGAACTGTATAGGAAAAGAGCCTGGGATGTCTTGCATGGGAAATGTCTTAACTGTATAAAACAGAATACCCTGTTTCTTTCTTTCTTTTTTTTTTTTTGGGTCCGGTCATGGTTGCCTGAACTCTGGGCCTGGGCACTGTCCCTCAGCTCTTCAGCTCAAGGCTAGCGCTCTACCACTTGAACCATAGCGCCACTTCCGGCTTTTTTTTTCTTTTTGCATATGTGGTGCTGGGGAATCGAACCCAGGGCCTCAGGCATGCAAGGCAAGCACTCTACCACTGAGCCACCTTCCCAGCCCCGAATACCCTGTTTCTTATCCAGATGGAAATCAGAAGGTTTATATGTCCTCTGGTTCATGTCTTTCTCCTCACTGTACTAGTATTACCAGAGGGAAGAATTCTCCACAAAGAGGTGAGGCAGTGCCATAAAATATAAAATGCTGTAGACCCTCAGTATTTATTGGTGGGGCAATTGAGGAAAACCTGCAAATGCTCAGGATAAATACAGTTCAACACTGTACTCAGATGCTTGATTTTTTCATAACACTGTCCAGTTCCCTACCAAAGACATACTGCTTTTAGATGAATCTCAAATTTCCACTTTAACACTTAAAGAACTTTAATTTGTGTTTCTTTCTTTCTTTTTCTTTCTTTCTTTCTGTCTGTCTGTGCTGTGCTGGTGTTTGGTACTGGTGTTTGAACTTAGAGCCTTGTGCTCTCACTTGGCTTTTTCACTCAAGACTGGTACTTTATCACTTCTGGCTTTTTGCTGGTAAATTGGAAAGAAGAGTCTCTCTGATTTGGCTGCCCTAGTGTGGCTTTGAACCTTAATCCTCAGATCTCAGTCTCTTGAGTAGGTAGGATTACAGGTATGGTGGAAGCATATGAACTTCTTACTTATTTGGGGTACCATTTGCATTTTTGGAAGAGAGTTTTTCAGAGAATCAAAGGCAAGAAAACACTCAACAGACAACATAGTGATTTAAACACAACTAATGATATGGGACTAACTAAGAGTGTCTCTGCCTCCACTGAGTTGAGAAATTGTGCACAGAGGGATTTAAACCTTTTTTGTTTTGCAATTTTTTGATTTTTAAAATTTATTACTTTTTATTTGCATGCAATAAATTCTCAACGTGTTATGTGTTATTTTTCATTGACTTGGAAATGGGTATAGCTCCTGAATACTAAGGTTATCTTTCTCAATAAGAAGTCTAACAGGTAATGGGGAATTTACACATTTCCCTATAATGCAGATCTTGTTAAAATGTTCTGAATGGTGGCATCAAGGAGTTTACAATCCAGCAAGAAAGCAGAAATGGAGTAAGTACAGGAATGCAGAAACTGATTGTAAAGGAAAAGTGTACACTGCTGGGGAGTCAAGTACCAGAGACTCCTGGTCCAGGTGCGAGAAATGCACCAATAGGCTCGCTTTCTCCCTTCCACCTCTCCCAATGCTCAGGCAATTACGAGCAGAACCTGATGCTATCAGTAAACAAAACCAACAAGGGCTGATTTTGCACTGTGAGCAGTGTGGACTTCTCTGGGCGTTTTGTGGGGAAGTTCAGGACAGGGTTAACTTGTATCTGGCATAGCCAATGGCGGAGTGAAAAGTTGCATTGAAAATTTCACATCTGGGTACCTGCCTAGCATGCACAAGGCCCTGGGTCCCCAATACTGAAAAGAAGTTTCCCATCTCCTTTCCTGTCCTCACAAGTTTTCTGGTCAGTGAAAGAACTCTCTATCATTATCACAGCACTTCATACCCACATCAGCATGAGCTCATAAATACCATCAAAACAGAAAAGTGGAGCTGGCAGTGAACAGGCTCGCTCTGTAAGGGATGGCAGGTATAGCTACGGTTAAAAGCCACACAGCAGTGACAGCTGGTGGAGATTAGGCAGGATCATGAGGAAGACAGCAGTAGCAGGTGACAAGTATTCCAGTGGGACAGTGGTGTGGAGCTGGAGACCTGCTGACAGGCGGAGGCGGGGTCGGGGGGGGGGGGGGGGGGGGGGGCAAAACCCAGGGAGACCTCTCTCCTCTCAGGGAGACATGCAGGGCAGCAGCTCAGGAGTCCAGGGAACCAATCAGCATCTTCAGCCTCATTTCCTATAGCATCTACATTGGTACCTATTCTTCCTAAACATGCTACTGTCATGATCATGTCTTGTTTCTGTTTCTATTTGTCTAAATTATGAATGTCACTTTGAATTTTAATTCCATATTCAAGAGTCCTGGCTTCCCATCAAGATGGTTATAAGACTTTTGGGGGAGTCCAGTGTGAAACCTAGCCAACTTAAACACAAAGCAATACATACATTTGGTTTCTCCTGCCTAGGAACCATTGGGACTTGGAATTCGAGATGTTTTCTCCTCTTACAAAGTCATTTCACCATTTCATCAGAGTAAAGAATAATATAGTGTAGGGGCTGTGCAGATGTCTCAGTGGTAGAGTGCTTGCCTTGCATGCATGAAGCCCTGGGTTCAATTCCTTAGCACCACATAAACAGAAAAAGCTGGAAGTAGAAATGTGGTTCAAGTGGTAGAGCGCTAGCCTTGAGCTGAAGAACTGAGGGACAGCACCCAGACTAGAGTTCAGACAAAAAATAAATAAATAATATAGTCTACAAGATAACTAGATGTCCAAAACATCTCTAAAACCTTAATTACCGACTCCATTGTGCTAACTCTGCACCTCATTTATCTTTGCCTGCACTATTTTTACTTTTTTTTTTCTTTTCTTTTGGATGGTCATGGGGCTTGAACTCTGGGCCTGGGCACCGTCCCTGAGCTCTTCAGCTCAAAGCGAGTGCTCTACCACTTTGAGCCACAGCGCCACTTCCCGTTTTCTGGTGGTTTATTGGACATAAGAGTCTCATAGACTTTCCTGCCCAGGCTGGCTTTGAATGGTGATCCTCAGACCTCAGCCTCCTGAGTAGCTAGGATTACAGGCCTGAGCCACCAGCACCCAGCTTCTTTCCCTGCACCGCTAGGTATTTAATTAGTAACTATTTTTTGTGCTGGCCTGGGGTCTTCCGAAAGTTGGCTGGTGCTTACTACATGACATCATATATGAGTGGTAGCAAAGTAAGTCAGTGTTTCCACAGTACTTCCCGGTCTTCCTCATGCCATTGTGGGCGCTCCTTTCTGACTGTTGCCATCTGGTGGAAGCATTGAAAAAAATCAAACCATCTGTAAGAGAAGCAACTCTTTACAGATACCAATGTTGATGAAACACTTTCTAGAAATGTGCATGGACTCTGACCTGGGTATTTTGAGATCCACAAGTCTACAGTTGAACAGTTGATCTATGAGCAGCAAGTTTTCTTCTTCCAATTCATAAATAGTATTTTCTAGTTCTTCAACTTCCTTCTTGTGAACTGCAATCTGTTCACAGAAGGAGAGAGTGGATGTTAGTATTGACTGAGTTCTATGACATCTCCCACTGCCCATTCAACTCTTGAAAGTGCAATTGCCTGAGAGGAAGCTTACGAGCTCACTGTAAGGAACAGGTGATTATCGGAACTTGTTTCATAGACAGGCAGTTATTAGAGAAGAATAGAAAGTGTCCTTGTCTACCCCTCGAAAGCACTGCTAAATTTAAGCAAGGCCAATTAATTTATCAATATGGCATACTGGTAACTAGCTCAATGAGAATCTAGTTAAAGGTTACAAACAATACAAGGAAGACTGGTAACACTGGAAAGAATTATATGCTATGGTATTTTTCCAAAGAAAAGCACATGCCTAGCAAACTTCTGTAAAGTTCTACAATATGGCTAGGATTCTAGGTGGAAGCCATCATTTGTGTGTGTGTGTGTGTGTGTGTGTGTGTGTGTGTGTGTTCATAATCCAGCGAATAAAAACACAATTATAAAGCAGCATCACAGAATTGCTAGTGGTTTAGTGTTAAAAGGAAAAGTATATATTATTTACCTGCCTAAAACAATCTTAGCAAAACCACTGAAGTCCATAATAGTAAATTACAAAGCCAGGGAGGGGTTGCTGTTTTAGGATCTCATAGGTGCAGAGATAATTATAATTAACTTATTACATTCTTGAATGCCCTAAGGAAAAATTATGATTCTCAAATGTCAATGGGTGGGAAGGAAATTAGAGTTAGAGCTTGTAAACAGAGGAAGAACAGAACATTTGGGTACCTTTGATATAAGGGCGTGGCATGCCTGGAGGCGGCATATATCTTCTGGGTCTCTTTCCAAAGTTGGGATCAAGGCCCAGTTAGGGAGTTATATCCAGTTTTTCCAGGTACCCTTTAGGGTACTAAGTGATGATCTTATCAGTAGCTGCTATCTCTCTTGTATTTTAAAATATTAGGGAAACAAAACAAAGTTCCTGCGTGTGTGTGTGTGTGTGTGTGTGTGTGTGTGTGTGTGTGTGGTAGTACTGAGGCTTGAACTCAGGATCTGGACACTGTTCCTTAGCTTTTTCCCTCAAGGCTGGCCCTCTTACCACTTGAGCCACAGCAACATTTCTTGCTTTTTTGATGGTTAACTGGACTTTCCTGTCTGGAAACCAGTATCTTCAGGTCTCAGCCTCCTGAGTATCTAGGGTGATAGTGCCTGGCTCTAACTTTTATAATCATTATAAATATATTTAGATTTTTGGAGTAAGAAAGCAAAAATGAGAGAAAAAAAAGGAAGACCACCTTTCCCCAAATACCTAAGACATGTGCACAGAAATCAGGAAAGAATATGTAGCTAATGATGCCAATTCTTATTAGACAGGGATCTAGAATAAAAATATCTATTTTTGCAATTTTGTTTTGAAAGTTTTATGGTAGCCTGAGGTCTCCTCATGCTAACTTCTTTCCTTTGTTTAGTTTCTCTGGTTTTCCATTTGTTAAGTCAGTTTAAATCATTTGAAGATTTCAATTCTGTTCATTTTCCTAATAAGCATGCTAAATAAAACCAGATAATAAAATTCATACAAGAAATCTTTGTATCCTTTCCAGGGACCCATAATTCTGGTTATTGTTGAAAGAAGTTAAATGGAGAAATATCTTCAAGCATTCCATTATTAAATAATCCATTGTTATTCATTCTAAACCTGCCCCCAAAGAAATGACATACATTGTTCTGTTTCCAGGCAGTTTTTTAGTCTTGTAATAAAACATCAAACCAGAAATTATCTTCATTTTGTGAGTAAATTTAATGATGCTAAAATGAATATTTATTGAAATAAGAAATCTATTGAATTTCCTTGAAATGATTTGTCTTTTATTACTTTTATTACTAAGCCCTTTTCTCCTATGATTAAACTTGGAATATTTTTTTATCTTTTTATTTCCATTGACTTACAAGAAGTAAAATGTAAAAGCAAGCAAAATGTAATTGGGGTTTTAGCAGAGTCAAAGCACCAATGCAGGCTTTCTTTACAGTCAAATATACATTTTTGTCATAATTTTCTCTAAACCTAAGATCCATGACATCTTATAAAATTAAGAGTTGAATAAGATCATGTTTAATAAAACTATAAGAACTAAATTGCTTCCCAATACCGTGGTGTGTGTGTGTGTGTGTGCGTGCGTGTGTGTGTGTGTGTGTGTGTGTGTGTGGTGTGCGCACGCGTACCAGGGCTTTAATTCAGGGCTTCACGCTTTTACTCTGTTTTCTGGCTCAAAGATGGGATTCTGCCATTTGAACCACACCTCCACTCTGGCATTTGCTAGCTAATTCACGAAGTAGTTTCACAGACTTTTTCCCCCAGGCTGGCTTTGAACCTTGATCTTCTGATTTCTTCCTCCTGAGTAGCTAGCTAGGCAGCACCAGGCCCCAGTACTATTTAGCTATTGACATATCTTGAGGTTTATTTTCCCCTCATTTGAATGCATTGTTTACAAGGGAAGAGGGACAGTTCCATACATGTATACAATGTGCTTCTTGCCCCTTCTGTTCTCCCAGACTTACCAACTCTACTAAAGGAAAGGGAAAGGGGAAAAGCTGCAAGGGACCTTTTATCCTGAACGTTTATGAAACCCAGGGGAAGAAACTTCAAGAAGGAATTGAACAAGTCCTCTCACAGATGTACTGAGTTTGAAGTTGGGACATCCTTTTGGAAATATGTAGCAGGCAAATGAAAGTATAGGTCCAGAGTTCAAGCCCCACGACTGACAAAGAAAGAAAGAAAGAAGAAAGAAAAGAAAGAAGAAAAGAAAGGAAAGAAAGAGGAAGAAAGAAAGAGAAAGAAAGAAAAGAAAGAAAGAAAGAAAGAAAGAAAGAAAGAAAGAAAGAAAGAAAGAAAGAAAGAAAGAAAGAAAGAAAGAAAGAAAATAGAGGTCCATAGCTACTCAGTTTGAATCCAGCCCAGCTGGAAAGTCTATGAGACACATATCTCCAGGTTAGAAAACAGCAGCAAGTGGAGCTGTGGTTCAAGTGGTAGAGCACTACCCTTCTTCAGAAAAGCTCAGAGACAGCGCCCTGAGTTCAAGCCCCAGGACTAGCACAATCAAAATTGTACTTTTGAGAATCATGAAAGAATAACTGGCTAAGCAAGATCTGCATCTGGTTTGAAGTCAGTTCTTTCAAAAGGTAGTGAGTTTTGATTCAGTATTTAAACACAGACTAAATGGCTACTGGTCCAAGTAAAAAGGTTAAGTAGGAATGGATGGGTGATGGGGCTAGATAACCCAAAGCACCATGGACAATCAAGTGGTGAGTTCAGTCAGTCAACACTACATAAAGTCCAAATCTGTCTATGCTCCATACAGTGCCCCCTTTGTGTCCCTTATCTCTGTATTTCCTGGAGAACTGGTCATTGAAAGATTTTAAGCAGTAGACCAATATGATCAGGTTTGGTTTAGAAAGATGTGGAGGTAGGAGGAAGGACAAAGAGAAGTTTCTAGTTAGGGAAGAGGTGCAGTTGAGACTTGGAGAGTGATATGATGAGAGCCAGAACTAGGTAAGTAGGAAAGAAGTAAAGGAAGCTGGGCACTGATGGCTTACACCTGTGATCCTAGCTTCCCAGGAGGCTGAAAAATGAGGCTAGAGATTCAAAGCCAGCCCAGGCAAAAAATGTCTGTGAGACCCCTTATCTCCAATTAACCACCAATAAACTGGAAATAGTGCTATGGATCAAAGGGAAAAGCACCAGCCTTGAGTGAATAAGCTAAGAAAGTAAGGCTTGGGAGTTTAACCCCCAGAATCATCACAAAAAAGAATAAAAATAAAGGACGGTGAAAAGGAAGTAAAAGAGAAAAGGCCATTAGAAAGTAATGCTGAGTCTATAGCTGGAGTGAATAGATAATGGAGGAACTCCACTGGTGGCACTGGGACAGAAGGCAAGGAGAGGAAGCAATCTCGTAGGGTGAGAAGTCTGTGGTGTGCATTCAGGTGTAACTGCACACAGCTGGTTGTTGAGTCAGTCTGTTTGGAGCCTGGAATTAAGATCAGATGAATTGGAAGCCTGCAGCACAGTTACCGTCCTCAGACATTTCTGTCCTTGAAAAGGGCAGTGTTCCCTGTTTTTCCTACTTGGTATTTAGTTGGAGTACATTGTTGCATAAATTCCTGACTGGGAAGTAAATGTTCTGAGCTTTGTGATTTCTGGGGAAAACAAAACACCTTAATTTTGTCCTTAATTTCATTGAGTATAGACTTAATTTTCCATCTGAACTTTGCTATTGAAAAAGTGAACACCAGTTTGGTGCTAATGCCTACCTTTGCAATCAACTTCCTCCTCCCCACCCTCACTACATTCTTTTTGTTTGGGGGGAGGGGGGAAGGGTCCGGTCCTGGGGCCTCAACTCTGGGCCTGGGCGCTGTCCCTCAGCTCTTCAGCTCAAGGCTAGCGCTCTACCACTTGAGCCACAGCACCACTTCCGGCTTTTCTCTTTTTGCTTATGTGGTGCTCAGGAATCAAACCCAGGGCTTCAGGCATGCAAGGCAAGCGGCTCTACCACTGAGCCACCTTCCCAGCCTCCCCAACTACATTCTGCCAGAAACTTTTGGAATTTTCCTTGTGTTCTTTTTTTTTGGGGGGGTGGTCCGGTCATGGGGCCTGAACTCTGGGCC